AAAGGGAAACAGGGGCGTTACCGCCACACTCGGTTCTCACATAACCGAGTGCACAGGCTATCCACCACCAAAATTAAAATTTCTCGTAATTAGTTGTTCAACTACAATTGTTTAAAATTAAGACTAAAATAAATTACTCAATCACTTTAGTCTATGTGTTCTAGCGGAAGCTCTCGAAATCAACTTCAATGTGATCCTCAATTCCTGCACAAATAAAGTACAGAAAGAAAAACACAAAGAAACAAAAATTAGCTGGAAATGCTAAGTAAGGCCCACCCAACCCTGTAAAATAATCATGTTTGATACATATATATCATTTTGTGAAAACATTTGGGAGGAAACCTCATGAAACATTTTATACAAACTTCTCATCACAAAATCACATGTAAAATAATAATATTCCAAATATAGGTACATATTTCAAAATCATAATAATTCTAAAAGGTCAATATACATAAACCACCAAAATCCTCGTAATTATATTCCAAAACATAAATCATATGTAAAGCCCAAATATTCATCTCAAAATACTTCCAAATACTCATAATCAATATTCAACATAACCATATCAAATCAAATTAATAAGTATTACTTTGAAAGTCTACAAATAATTTAATAATCTCAACCACATCAAATTCAATCCAATCCAAACAAATATAACCCATTCAAATAATCCAATATAATGTAGTTCAATTCATCTCCATCAAGTCCAACCAAATAATCCAAATCATCTCAAGTTCAATCATTCAAACTCAACCAAATCCAATGGAAGCCGAACTCCTACCTTAAGTGTGCACACCCCCTAAAAGAGATTCCAAGCTCTCCGGGTAGTAAAAAGTCCGAGTAGTCGGGATTTTTCTACCGACTACTACAATTAAGCTGGGATGCTCCGCTTTTGGGAGATCCCTGGTGGAATTAGACTTATAGTCATTACCACTCACCAAATCCACATTTCTCCGGGTACTCACAAAATCATAATTCAACCTCAAAGTTCAAGTATCATAACCTCAATCAAAATGGATATGAAATCCGAATTCCACAAAATTATTCACAATAAAATTATTAACTCCAACTCATCATACTCAAATATACCATCAATAGTCCAAAATATAGGATACTTCATAAATAACTCAAATCTCAAACCTCAATCAAATAACAATTCATATGTAAATTCAAATGCTCAAAATATCACCCAATATAAAATACTCAAATCTCAAATATATATAATTCACAATCACAATTGATACATAAAATCTCATTAACTATCATATACTCAAATGATCTCAAATAACTAGTCACAAATATATTTATATGGGAAAAGCATGAAATTTGGTTGACATAGTACTTACCTCGAATTGCGATAATTCCTAACCGAAGCTTTAACCTCATCTTCACCAAATTCACCTTCTAAGAATATTAAAATTCTTTCATTAATAACTACTCTAGACCCTTACTAAAAATTACTCGGTTATGGTTTAATTACTTTAACTCTGTCATGATTAATAACTTAATCTAGTTTATTATATTATTAATATTATTATTAGTCGTGTCCAGTTATTAAGTAATAACTAGTCCAACTAACTCATTATTATTCTAACTAGCAATTTAAATAAATCTCGGCCCATTATAGTATTATTAACACAAATTAAATACAGACTTACGTACATGCCGACGTCTCCGATCCATAAACTCCACGAAATAGATAACTAACGGCAACCGGCAGTGACGGTTCTCTCCACGGCGGTTTCCTCCTCCAACGCCGTCTTTGTCCTCAGCGGCCCTTTCTTGCAGCAGCGGTTTGGTCCGGCAGTAGCGTCCCCGGCTTCTCCCCTTTCTCCGGCGTGAACCAGTCAGGCGTTGGTCACTTCGTCATGGACTTCTTGACATCACCATGTAAGTAGTTCAGCGTTCATTGGCGGCGAGAGGTCTGGTGGGTGATGACTTACGGCGATAGCGTGCATGTGGTGGCCCAGCTTCCCTTTTCCGGCCTTCATCTCCGGACGGAAATGACAAAGTCCAGGAATTCTGTTTGCGTAGAAGATAGGAGTCTTGAGACGGCACTCTACCGGAGTCGTTAAAGTTGTTTCCGACGAGGTGTGGTGTTGGGCGTCAGTGACCGACGTCTCATTTTCTCTGCTTCAATTCGTTACGTTGTTCTCTATCGTTGCTTTATTCTCGGTCGCAGGTGTACGCATATATACGCAGGTTATTTACACCCAGGTTATTATTGCAGATGTAAGATAAGACTATGTATCTGGTCGAGCATCGGAGCAGTATTCAATTCGTTGTATTTATATTACGAAATATACTCCATATTATTATTGGGTGCATGTATGATGAGGATCGAGGGAAACACTTCATGTGGAGGACAAGTACATTGATGTATGCACATGTATGATGTATGTGGCATCTGACATTCACGTGAAGTGAATGGGAAGGTCGTAATAATGTATACATCATAGGGAGGACAAGGACATTATTAAGTTATCTGGTAAGTAATAATGTACATAGGGAGTATTATTATTGTTAGGGGTCAACTTTGTTATTTGTGTACAAATATTATCAACCGATATCATTCAATTAAAATTTTTAAAATGTCATTTTTATGATTTATATCATATGTATAATTTATCACTTGTTACAAAAATGTAACCTTTGTTACTTAAGTCAAGGTCTTTTCTGGTCAACATAATTATTATAAAAATGTCACCTTTATTATTGAAACATTTTTATCGGATTAAAGTTTTTGCCGATGTTAAAATTTTATCTGATTCACTTAATTATAAAAATGTGACTTTCGTAACATTTTATCTGACTAATTTATTTATTTAATTTAATTTTTCGGGGTGTCACATGTGCAATTTACGTAATATTTTTTTGGAAATGACAAATTTCAATAATATTATTATATGATTTATAGTTTTTTAAAGTAAAAAATTAATGTGTTGTTTTCGATCAATACGATAGTGATACATTTCTTACTAATGTGATCAACCATACTTTTTTCACGCAGAGGATAGTGACAACGAGCGTGACGTAAATCGAAGGGTTTTGCAAAACGCTCGATTTCAACAATCTCTTCGGAACAGTACTACATCATCTATAAAGCCTATAACTTCTGCTACTTTCCCTTTGGTGGATGTAACTAAGGGTAAATTTATCAAGATGCTTTCGGCTTACTATCTTACACCAATTATTAAACTAATTATACTTTTTGATTATTTTATTAACCAATATTGTGTAACAATAATGTAGTCTTGGTGACGAGCGCTCAACCACCAGCGTCAATTGTACTCTCCAAACCAACACCTATTATGAGGCCAAATCTGATTCAAGAGAGATCATGTGATCTACCATCTACGTCGGTTTCATCCAATCACCCAGACAATATATTGCACGACACTAATGTTGCTTCTTGCAGTTATTTCACGCAAGATTTGGATATCGATGATGTGGACGTAGACGATGCATATGTGGATTATGAAGATCTAAAGAGTATTAAAGATGAATCGTCTATTGGTTGGTTTTCTATAAAATTTAAATTTTAAATTAAAGTTTTGAAATTATATGTGCTTTTAAAATTTCAGAATTTATTATTTAAATTTATTTATTTCTTTATTCATTATTAATTTATTTATATAACTTAAATTGTGTTGACATTGGTTATCGTATTTCAGAGTTATGGGATATTGGTGATCCAAATTGCGTCTGCCCATTTTGTGAGGCACTTTTTTGGTACGAAGAGAGGATTGAATCGAGTTCTACAAAAATGAACCCGAAGTATTCTCTGTGTTGCTCACAGAATAAGGTACAACTTCCCGTCAACAAAGAACCACCGTTGTTGCTGCAAAGGTTGATGGATGGAACAGATGCTAGAAGCAAGCACTTTTTAGAAAATATCAGATCTTACAATAGCATGTTTGCATTCACATCAATGGGTGGTCGGATTGAAACGGCGATAAACAAAGGAAGGTCTCCCCCAATTTTTAAACTTCACGGTCAAAATTATCACCTTATTGGAAGTTTAATGCCCACAGTTGGATCGACTCCAAAATTTGCACAGTTGTATATCTACGATACAGAAAATGAGATACAAAATCGGATCAAATCTGTTAGGTAACTTTTATGCAACAATTTTAATTTCTTATTCTGTTTGGTTTATGAAGATGTCTAAATTTATCATCGAAGATTGATTTGATTTGTTCAGGGGAGCTGCTGATATTGACCAATTACATGTTGAAATTGTTGAGGACTTAAGAAACATGTTGAATGAGCACAATGTTTTGGTCAAATCATTTAGAATGGCTAGGGAAACGATTCATCGAGGTGAGAGTTGTGACGTGAGGCTAAGGTTGATAGGTAAACGAAGCAGCGATGCAAGAACGTATAACCTACCAACTGTATCAGAGGTTGCTGCTTTAGTTGTTGGGGATTTTGATGAGTCTATGGGAGAGAGGGATATTGTGGTGGAGACCCAGAGCTGAAAGCTACAACGCATTAATGAACTTAATCCAGCATATTTTGGCTTGCAGTATCCTTTGTTATTTCCATTTGGTGAGGATGGTTACCGAGAAGATATTGCACTTTCAGGTTCTAAAGTTGTCATTGGCTCGGGAAGACGCAATGTTAGTATAAGGGAGTTTTTGGCTTATCATTTGCAAGAGAGGGAATACAGATATTCCATTACTTTGAAGGCTAGAAGACTTTTCCAACAATTTGTCGTTGATGGCTACACTTTGATAGAGTCTGCAAGATTGAAGTACATTAGAACACATCAAAAGCAACTTCGTTGTGAAATGTACAAGGGCTTGAGTGACGCTGTTTTACGCGGGGAGAGTGATCCTGTGACTCAAGGAAAACGAATTGTGTTGCCCCCAACCTTCACTGGTGGTGCAAGATACATGATACAAAACTACCAAGATGCAATGGCTATTTGTAGATGGGCGGGGTATCCAGATTTATTCATCACGCTGACATGCAACCCAAAGTGGCCTGAGATTGAACGTTTTTTGCATGGTAGGAATCTTAAGTCTGAAGATCGCCCAGATATCATATGTCGAGTATTTAAGATAAAGTTGGATGGTCTTCTGAAAGACTTGCGACGTAATAGGGTGTTTGGTAGTGTTAAAGCAGGTACATTTCAAACTGAACATACCTCGGTTTTAACCATTATTAAATGTCAGAGTAATTTTTAAAATTACCTTTTGCAGTGGTGTACACTGTGGAATTTCAGAAGCGAGGATTGCCCCATGCACATATACTATTGTGGCTAGCAAGTGAGGATAAATTGCCAACTTCAGCAGACATTGATAAGGTTATCTCAGCTGAAATTCCCGATAAAGACAAGGACCCACGATATTACAATGCAGTTCATGATTTTATGATGCACGGACCGTGTGGTCCATATGTCAAGTCTGCTCCATGTATGTCTGATGGGAAGTGTACGAAACATTACCCTAAGAGTTGGTGCAATGTTACGTCTATTGACGGTGATGGATATCCGGTTTATAGACGAAGAGACGATGGTAGGACCATTGAGAAAAATAATATTCCTCTTGACAATAGATTTGTGGTTCCGCACAATCGTTTTTTGTTGATGAAATATGGCGGTCATATCAATGTGGAGTGGTGCAACCAATCCCGGTACATCAAGTACTTATTTAAGTACATCAATAAAGGACGTGATCGTGTCACTGCATGTTTTTTTAATAGTGTAGGTGCAGATGAAGGGAGCAAACCTGTGGATGAAATCAAAATGTATTACGACTGTAGGTACATATCTCCATGTGAGGCTGCATGGCGTATATTGGGATTTGAGATTCAATATAAAAATCCTCCAGTTGAACGCCTTAGTTTTCACTTGAAAGGAGAGCAAACTGTGATCTTCTCAGACAATGAACCTCTTGATTCTGTAATTGCTGGCAGGAGTGTTAAAGATAGCATGTTTTTGGGGTGTATGGAAAAAGGGTACAAGGGAATGGGTTCCAAGAAAGAAAGCATTTTCTATTGGTCGGATATACTATGTTCCACCAGGATGTGGGGAGTCTTATTATATGAGGTGTTTATTGAACCATATTCGAGGAGTGACGTGTCATGAAGATTTGAGGACTATAGGCGGTGTGTTATATAATTCATACCGTGAAACTTGCTATGCTTTGGGGCTTTTGGACGACGATAAAGAATTTGTTGATGGTTTTACTGAGGCAAGTGATTTTGCAACGGCATTTGCACTAAGGATACTTTTCGTCATATTGTTGTGGTCAGAATCCATGAGTCGGCCAGAATTTGTTTGGGAGAAGTGTTGGATATACATGGCAGAAGATATTCAATACAAATTGCGTAAAAAGTATCAACATCCAGGTATATTAATACAACTATTTTGTTATCTATCATTAACACATTAAACCATTGGTTCGTGCTAATTTGTTCTCTGTAGTTATTTGATTAGTGGTTGAAATGACATTCCATCTTTTCATGTCATACAGGGTTTGTAATGGACAATGATCAATTGCAAATGGCGGCATTAACGGAGGTGGAGATGTTATTGCAACGACGAGGAAAGAGTTTACGTGATTTCCCTCCAATGCCGTATCCAAAGTCAGACTCAACTTACCTTTCCAATAATAGATTTGTTGAGGAGGAACTCCAATATGATCGGCAAGCGATGCATCAAGAACATAATACCTTGCTTCAAGGTCTAACAGATGAACAACGTGTTGTTTATGAAAAGATCATGCATTCTGTTGAAACGGAATGTGGAGGGATGTATTTTGTTTATGGATATGGTGGAACTGGGAAAACGTTTGTGTGGAGAACTATATCCGCTGCATTGAGGTCCAAAGGGGACATTGTATTAAATGTGGCATCAAGTGGCATTGCTTCTCTACTACTACCCGGAGGGAGAACCGCGCACTCGCGTTTTGCAATTCCGATCAGTTTGAATGAAGATTCAACTTGCAATATAAAGCAGGGTAGTCCTTTAGCAATACTAATCAGTAAGTGTAAATTAATCATTTGGGATGAAGCTCCAATGCTCCACAAATTCTGTTTTGAGGCATTGGATAGAAGCATGTGTGATGTGCTCAGATTCACCAACCCAAATAGCCTAAACTTACCATTTGGTGGTAAGACAATTGTTTTGGGGGGAGACTTTCGACAGGTGCTACCGGTGATCCCACAAGGCAGTAGACAAGACGTTGTTAATGCAACAATTAATTCATCTTATCTATGGGGGGAATGTACTGTTCTTAGATTAACTAAGAACATGAGGCTCCAAAATGTCAGCAGTCCTGCAGAATCCTATGATTTGAAGGCTTTTGCCGATTGGATTACAAGCATAGGTGATGGATTAGCTGGGGATTTAAACGATGGTTGTGTCTCTATTAAAATACCCGATGACATCCTTATCAAATACACCGGAGATCCAATTGCTAAGATAGTGGAGGTCATTTATCCCGATTATCTGAAATCAAGTACAGATTTGAGTTACTTGAGAGACAGAGCTATTCTTGCTCCAACCCTTGATGTCGTTGATTCTATCAACGACTACATGACAAGTTTGAATTCCAAGGAAGTTGCTAGAACATATCTTAGTTCAGATAGTGTTTGCAAATCTGATTCAACACATGATCTTGTAGCAGAGTTGCACACTACAGAATTCTTGAATAGTATTAAACTCTCTGGTGTGCCAAATCATAAGTTAACTTTGAAAGTCGGTACCCCGGTCATGCTTTTGCGTAATATTGATCACTCATTGGGTTTGTGTAATGGAACAAGACTCATCATAACAAAGATGTGTGATCACATCTTAGAGGGAAGGGTCCTCAATGGTATTAATGCAGGACAAAAAGTCTTAATACCGCGATTATCTTTGACACCGTCAGATGTTAGGCTGCCATTTAGATTTCAAAGGAGGCAATTCCCTATTATAACTGCTTATGCAATGACCATCAATAAAAGTCAAGGCCAATCACTCACTCACGTCGGTCTCTTACTAAAAAAACCAGTTTTCAGCCATGGTCAATTGTATGTTGCCGTCTCAAGAGTTACCAATCGTGCAGGTCTCAAAATTCTCATCCAAAACGAAGATGATTGTCCAATGAATGAAACCATGAATGTTGTCTATAAAGAAGTGTTCCATAATCTCTAATATTTCATATTGTATTCAAATCACATTAGATATTACAATAGATTACATATTACAGTTTCATTTGTTAATCGTCACAATTTAAGATATTTAAATTTATTTCCAATTAGACTTTAAAATCTAACACTAATAATATCCATCCAACAAACTCCTGCACTGTGCATCGCACGGGTGCTGTACTAGTTACATGTAGAAACATTTCAAGGTACTTTTTGCAAGAAGAAACTGAATGTCTTACCTAGTATCGAAATACATTTTTCAAAAATTACGTTGAAAACAAAACTTAGCAATATTAAGTGAATATGAATATTACAGATGTTTTCTTTTGGATTTTTTCAATCGCAGACCAGACCAGACCAGACCAAATTAGACCAAACCAGACTAGATCAGACCAGATCAGATTAGACCAGATTAGACCAAACCAGACCAGACCAAACTTCCATTATTATAAAATACACAGAGACCAGACATTTACCAGATCAGACTAATTTAGACCAGACTAAAAACATTCAGTCCAAAAGAAAACATCCTACATGTGTCATGTGTGTGTTTTGCATAGATCACCTTACACTTTTTATATTACATATTTCTACCAGTAACGTTAACTTTTGAGCTGAGAGATCATAATTAATCTTCCAGAGTCATACATGCTTCGGCTTTATGATGCAGTTACAGGTAGGGATGGACCGGTTTCGGTCCGGGAACCGGCCTGAGATACTACCGGGATCGGGCCGGACCGGGCCGGTCAACCAGTCCGGGTATCGGGTCGGATCGGGTCGGTTAGGGTTCGTTTTTTATTCTTGTTTATAAATTAATTTAAGAAGTGCTGCTACATATAAAAACTTAATGTATATTTATTTGAAATATGAACTCCAATTGAGATTTGAGAAAAATTTAAAACATAAAATATATTTTCTAATAAATAATAATCAATCGGAATCTGCGCCACCGTTGGTTGTTGTTTCCTCCATAAAGTGGTGGGTGGGAACGATGCTAAGTTCTTGAGTTCTGCGTTAGGCCTTCAACCAATCGTGGAAGCAAACAAGCGTCTCAAGAGAGTTTGCGCTCAATCTCGTTCTATAATCCGTTAGCACGTTGCCGGCCGCACTAAATTTTTGTTCCACGACAACTGTTGATACCGACATTGCTAGCACTTGCTTAGCCATCTTTGATAAAATCGGGAACGTTCTTTCTTTATCCTTCCACCACTTTAGAACATCAAAGTCATCATATTTTTCATAGTCAACAGGAAATGTTTTTTTTACTTCAGGGGGTCTGGGGGAGCCTGGAGTAATCAGGGTTGAAATTCACTCCATTGAGTTTCCAACCCTTATGTGTCTAGCGGGTTTCGAACTCGAGACCTTTAGCTAGGCACGGTAACCTCGCAACCAGCTGGGCTAGAATGCTTGGTTATAGGAAATGTTAGATACATAGAAAGCTCGTTAATCGAGCTTTGTTCAACAACGGGAGTTGATTTACTTTTTTCCAAAATATTACCAAATGTTGATTTTCAAAAATGATTTTTCTTTAGATGAAGATGTTCGTGTCGGGAGAGGGGTTGCGTTACTATATTGTGCATGAAACTCATTAAATGATTGATAAAACAAATCACTAACCTCGCTCTATTCTTGTTTAGGATCTATGTGTTTATCTTCGTACAAAGGAAATGGACCAAAAAAAGAAGAAGCTTAATAGTAGTGTAAACATTGTTGCAAAGCAATAAGTCTATAACGAGGATCAAGAATAAATGCAATACCATATATATGCAGAATATGTGTGATGTTACCATGGAGTCTAGCCATGGCCCAATTACGTAACACAGCCCATAAACGGGATCAGCCCTTGACGGGATCAACCTAATTAACAGGATTAGCCCATAAACGGGATTAGCCATTGACGGGATCAGCCTAATTAACACGATTAGCCCATAAATAGGATCAGCCCTTGACGGGATCAACCTAATTAACGGGATCAACCCATAAACGGGATTTACATTGAATAAGCCGCTTGGCCCATTAGGAATCAGGCCCACGATAGGAACCCACAGCCAGGCCGGGTTGGACATCAGACCTCGAGCCTGGGCGGAGTTCTAGTGAGGTCGGGATATTCCTAGGGCCTACGTGGCAAGCTATCATTCGATGATAGATATTTGACAACAGGCAGGACTCAACCGGAACTAAGAAAGGATTATGGCGTGAGAATAAAGCAGGAAGGGAGTTCTATTTCGAGAAAGAATATAGTTTATTAATTAAGCATTTATTGTATTAGATTCCTTCCATAATTCTACTTCCTAATCTCTATAAATACTTC